ACCCCATTCCGTTTGTTGGCTGTGGATTTGTCGTATGTGCCTTTTATTATTTTGAGGTGTATTCCTTCTATGCCTAGTTCATTATGAAGGGGTGCTGCTTTTTATTGAATGCTTTTTCTGCATCTATTGAGATGATTATATGGTTTTTGTTTTTAATTCTATTTATGTAATGAGTCATATTTATTGATTTGTATCTGTTGAATCCTCCTTGCATCCTTGGACTGAAACCCATTTGATTATGGTGAATTATTTTTTTATGTGCGGTTGGATTCAGTTTGCTAGCATTTTGTTGAGGATTTTTTATATCTGTCTTCATTAGGATATTGGTCTACAGTTTGTGTGTATGTGTGTGTGTATTTCCTTTCTGGCTTTGTTATTAGGGTGATACTGGCTTTGTAGAATGAGTTAGGCAGGATTCCTTGCTTCTCTGTGTTGTGTAACAGTTTCAGTAGAATAGGTACCAGTTCTTCTTTGGTAGAATTTTATTGTGAATCACTGTAGTCATGGGCTTTAATTGTTGGTAGATATTTTATTACTGATTCAAACTTCCTACTCATTATTGTTCTGTTCTGGATTTCTGTTTCCTCCTGATTCAATCTTGGGAGGTAGTGTGTTACCAAAATTTTATGTTTCCTCTAGATTTTCAAGTTTGTGTGCATAGAGGTATTCGTAGTAGTCTTGGATAATCTTTTGTATTAATCTTTATTTGGTATCAGTCATAATGTCTTCTTTTTTTATTTCTTAGAGCTTATTTGAATCCTTGCTCTTTGGGGATTGATTTAGCTCCTGGTCTGTCAGTGTTATTTATCTTTTCAAAGAAACAACTTTTCATTTCATTGATCCTTTGTATTGCTTTTTGGTTTCAATTTTGCTTAGTTCTGCTCCAATCTATGTTATTTCTTGTCTTCTGCTAGCTTTGTGTTTGGTTTATTTTTGCATTTCTACATAAGGTGTGACATTAGGTTGTTTGTGATCTTTCTATCTGTTTGATGTAGTCATTTACTACTGTGAATTTCCCTTTTAAGATGCCTTTCATTGTATCTTAAAGATTTTGGAAGCTTGTGGTGCCATTGTCATTTAATGCAAAATATATTTTGATTTCTCTCTTGACTTTCTCATTGACTGAAATACTGTTTAGCAGCAGGTTGTTTAATTTCCACATGTTTGTATAGTTTTGAGAGTTCCTCTTGGAATTGATTTCTAGTTTTATTCCACAGTAATCTGAGATGATAACATGGTATGATTTCAATTTTTAAAAATTTGCTTAGACTTGCTTTGTGGCTTACCATATGGTCTTTCTTGGAAAATGTTACATGTGCTGATGAGAAGAATGTATATTGTGCAGTTTTTGGATAGAATGTTCTGTAAATGTCTGTTAGGTTCACTTTTTTTAGAATTTCGTTTAAGTCTAGTGTGTCTTTATTGATTTCCTGCCTTGATGATCTCTAGTTCTGTCAGTGGAGTGTTGAAGTCCCCGACTATTGTTTCTGTTTATTTCATTTCTTAGGTCTAGTAGTATTTGTTTTATGAATATGGGAGCTCAGGTGTTAGTATCATATAAATTTAGGATTGTATCCTACAAAACCAAGTTTCATAAATGAACTGGAAATAGTTATTCCCAGACAAGCAAACACTAAAGGAATTTGTCACCATACCTGCCCTACAAGCAATGTTCAAAAGTGCTCTGTGCACTAGAAAGAATGGTCAATACTCACCAATGTAAATACATTGGAGAGTAAAAACTCACAGCTCTTATAAAAAAAGTAACACGGGAGAATACAAAACAACTATGTAACAATCAACACCATGACTGGAACAGTATCTCACTTACCAATATTAACATTGAATATTAACAATCTAAATGCCCCACTTAGAAGACATAGATTGGCAGAATGGATAAAAAACAACCTAGAACCCAGAAATTTGCTGTCTCCACGAAAACCATTTAACTCATCATAAAGAGTCTCATAGACTCAAGGTAAAGGGATAGAAAAAAATATATTCCATGCAAATGGAAACCAAAAGTGAGCAGGAGTAGCTATTCTTACATCAGATAAAATAAATTTTAAATCAACAACAGTAAGAAAAGACAAAATATGGTCATTATAGAATGATAAAAGGATCAGTTGAACAACATGCAGGGTTTTTGACACTCATTTCATGGCAAGACCTGACTGGCACTGATTTGAAGCTACTGAGCCAGTATCTTCACTTCTCCCTTTATTCACTTCACTGCATGCATTTGTTTAATGAGTGTTTATTTCCCAACAAGTGTGTGCCAGGGGGTGAGGGCAGTGAAAGGAGCAAATGAAGTAGTTGAAGTATAAACCCTTTAAAAACCACAGAGTACCTGCCCATCATGTTCTTCCTACTACTTGGTATTCAAGGCATACATTAACTCACAGCATGTCACCCTTTATGACATCCTGTTATGTTAGCTCTCCAAGACCCTGGAGGGAGGAGGGGTAGGTCTTATTAGTCTTCCTTTGTAAACTTAAGAGTCAGATACCCAGTGTACGATTTAATATGTTAAATGTCCAGGAGCAAGTTGCTCCTCTGGTGTAGGAGTGATAGGCTACTTTCCTTGGAGTGTGCTCAGTGCTTATATGTTCAAGCTAGCTGCCTCCCAAAGAAGGATTTCTAATGTGTCCTTTGGGCCATGCAAAAAATGCAGCTCTTTTCTGTACAAAACCCTGAAAATACATGGCAAGGTATGGAAACATGAACAGAATAGCCAATGTAGGGAACATGAGTTGGTGACTCTAAGAGATGGGTTACTGCTACTGACTTTGAGAAGGGCTCTGGCCACCATTCGGCTTGCAGTTGGTTGCCTGGAGAATGTGGGTGTGCAAGTTACAACAAAGCTCCTGTTTGGGTGGTCCTTTACCTCTGTCGCTTTAAAATGGAAGCAAGGTGGCTCTTCAGATTTCAGGTTGGACAGGTTAGGGGTAACCTGCTTGATGGAGGTGGGTGTTGCTCAACAGATTTTCAGCCAGGGGCCTCTTTCATCCTGCCCATGAGCAAAGGCAAAGCCATCTAGGAGCTTGCCTTTTGTCATAGAGTGGACCCTTCCTTATCTTATTCTGCTGTGGAGGCCCAGAAGGCTTGATGGGAGGTGGGCCTGGCTCTAGGGAAAGGGGAAACCTGTCCCAAGGGGCTGACAACACATTCCTCTCTTTGATTCTGCATGTTTGTGATCAATCAGGTGGCATACTTTGTTCCCCGTGCTTCGGTTTCATCATTTAGAGTTTAAAAGTGACTTCTGTGTTTTTCTCAAACTCAATGATATTTAAATAAAGTAATACTTATTACATAAATGGGGAAAATACAGAGGAACAAAAGGAAAAGGAAGATAAAATGTCACTTGCCATTAACATTTTAGTTAAGTTCTTCCTAGGTTTTTTAGTATTCACATATGTATTTTCGGGAGGGTCTAAAGTTAATAGCATTTAACATTTTTACACAGTTGGGATGTAACTGTATATACAAGTTTATATCTCTTCTCTGTATCAGTAAGTAACCTTCACAGGTGTGGTTTTCATGGCTGCATACCTTTCTGCTGCTGTTGGCTTTCTCTGTTGGACATTTTGATTGTCACTTTTTCATGACTGTAATTACATCGAACAGCGTTCTTGTTTATAAATTATTATATAATCCATATCTCATATTTCATAACACAGTAGTGTCCCCTTGTCTGTGGCTTTGCATTCCACAGTTTCATTTACCTGTGGTCAGCCATGATTTGAAAATAGGTGAGAATAGTATAGTAAGACAATTTGTGAGGGGGCAGGGGAAAAGACATATAACACATTCACATAATTTTTATTACAGTATATTCTCATAATTGTTCTATTTCATTAATCTCTTACTATACATAGCTTATAAATTAAACTATATCACAGGTGTGTGTATATAGGAAGAAAACATAGTACAGTTCTATGGAGGATTCAGTACTCTCTGTGGTTTCAGGCATACAGTGGGGGTCTTGGAACTTACCCCCCATGGATGAGGGGTGCTGCCGTATCTGTTTTTGATTCTGGAATGATTGGGTCACTGAATGAAGCCTGTTGGTGCCGATGTAGAGTGTGTTTTACTGCATTTACATTGTGGCAGAGATGTGTCCATATGGGCTAGTGCTAAAACGTAAGTAATAACTATCAAATTAAAGAACAGCCTTTCTACTCACGTTTGGATTCTGAAAGTGCATGCTGTTCCTACCAACCTGTGGTGTTGGTTAGTGTTTCTGTGTACAAAGACTGTGTCAGTCCTCACATGACAGCTTTGCACGTACAGGTATGGTCTCTCTAATAGCAATACTTATTTATCAAAGTAAGATCTTACAGGGGAATAGTGTATCTAAAGAGTCCATGGGGAATTACACATTTATTGATAAGTCTTCCCTCTTGTGAGGAAAGGACAAGATGTGTGATAGCCTGGATGCGTGTCGTAGGATTTTTTCCCCCTTAAATAATGCTCTCATACATGCCAACATTCATGGCTCCTCGTTCACGCAGCTGCTGGGATGCCAGCCCCCAGGGGCGTCCTGCCCCTGCTTTGCTGCCTTGGTCCCAGTTGCCAGCACTGCGTAGCCTTTCAGGAGCCTCTGCCAGTTCTGTGTCATCAGCCGGAGGGGCTTCCGGGTCCCTCCCCAGCGGGTCCAGGCTTCCTTTCCTCCGCATTCTTCTCCGTGTCCCTCTGAAGGGGCCGGTTTCCTCTTCCGTGGTACTCAGCCCCGTTGGCCACCTCGGCTGCGGTGGCGGGCAGGTTTGAGCCCCACTTGGTGTCTGGCCTCCCTGCTCTCTCCCTCCTGCCCAGGCAGCGCCGCCCCTCGTGAGCGAGCCCAGGCTCGCCGCGTGGCGGGGAGCTCAGTAGCAGCTGCGTCTCTCTATGGCCCGCCGAGACTGACCGCTCTCCTGGGAGGCTCAACAGCAGCCTTTGCGCTGTGTGGCTTTGGACGTCCATAAGCCAAGGACTGCGCTGATGTCTACGGTGTTTTCTAGAAAAGAAGCTGAGGAAGGGCAGGCCGTCGGGGGACTGGCGCCAGCGGAGGAACGCCATCCAGCTCACCAACGAGCACACGGTGGAGACCCTGGTGGTGGCCGACGCGGACATGGTGCAGTACCACGGGGCGGAGGCCGCCCAGAGGTTCATCCTCACCGTCATGAACATGGTGAGTCTGGGGCTGGGGTCCTGACACAGGTGGGCTCTGTTTGCTCCCGATGAGAGCTCTGGGGGCAGGCGCTGTGTCCTGTCACCTCAGGAGAGGAAGAAGCTGGGTTGGAGGTGGGGACTCAGCCTTGTGATCCCCAGGCATTGCAGAGGACAGAACTGGCGGAAAGCACCTGCCTGCTGGCCCTGCCCTGCTGGGGGCTTGAAGCGCCTGGTCTGCTCAGTGGTTGGGTCGCTCATTAGCAGACGGCTGCTCAAGACCCTCATGGCACACACGATCCACACCAAAGGGCCTTGAAAGTTGAGCGAGTCCCAGACCCTGCTCTAAGGAGTCAACAGTGGAGTTGGGTGGAATCAAATCAACTTTATTGGAAAACAATTTGCCACGGGCTGAGATGGCCTGGCAGGAAGTGGGGGGAGAGGTCATCTAGTTGAGGGAACCATGGAAGGAGTCATGAAGCCTGTGTCTGCATCCAATTTGTTGAATGGGGATGGTGGGAAACCCACTTTACGTAATGGGGACAGGTGGTAGGGCTGCGCTCCTCAAATGCTAGATCTTCAGAGACATCCTAGCTCCACCATCCTTCTAGTTTTCCCAATAAGTGTTTTTGACAGCCTTCAAAAACCTTTGGCATTGTGTTAGGTGCCAGGGGTACAAATGCAACAGAGATCTGGTCCTTCTCTTAAAAGACCGTAGCAGTAACAGACGAATAAAGCATTCATGCTACAGTAGAAACATCCGCAGGGGCCCCTGGGGCCCAAGTGGAGGGCTGGGGTGGGCTCACCCTGCAGCATGAGGCTTCATGCAAGAGTGAACCCTGAGCAGCGAGTGAGTGCCTGCCAGTTTGGGGCTGGCAAGGTCACGCAGCAGGAGCCAGGCCTGGAGGTCTGTCAGCTCCATGTGGGGAGGGCAGGTGGCTGGGCATGGCTGGAACAGGAGTGGCGGGGCCCTAGGGTGTGGCTGGGGGTGTGGACAGGGTAGGGTGACTGAAGGATCGGGCATCCTGAGGAGGGTGGGCTCTACCCCGAGGAGTGGGGCCACTCTCGGAGGGGTGGAGAGCAGCATGCCCAGGTGGATGTTTGGAAGGACAGCCCCGTGTCTGCAGGGAAGTGGCGTGTAGAAAGTCAGGGTTGCAGCATGTGGGGGGGGGGGGTCGGAGCATAGGGGGGCGGGAGTGGGGTGGAGGAGGTGCTGGGAGGAAAGACCCACAGGAAAGAGCCAAGGAATCGGTGACCAGCAGGATGTGGGGGCTGGAGCGGCAGGAGGTGGTGGCGAGGGAAATGCAGGCTGCACCTGGGCTTCAAGCTGGGTGCCTGGGTGGACGGTGGAGCCACTGGCTGAGAAAAGGAGCAGAGAGAGTTTGGGGCCACAGCGAGGAGTTCTGACATGGTCAGGGTCCTGCAGGAAGTGGCTGGCAGGGCCGTGACCACCAGGCCAGCGTCTCCCCTAACAGGCCACAGGGAAGTGCTGGGCCCAGTGGGTGTGGGAGCCCCACGGGGATCCTGCTTGCTGTGAGGACCAGTCTCTGGTCCCTTATCCTCTGTGTCGTCAGACTTCCCAGGGCCGGCTTTGGGACACACGTCTCTGCCTGTGGGAAGCTCCCTCTGCCTCGTCCCTTGGGCACGCTGTGCTCTGCGGCGGGGGCTGCATGGGCGGCGCTTTGACAGCGTAGGCTTCGCGTTGAGCTCCGTGTTGGACCACATATTTCCTCACGTGATGGGCTCTTCTGCAAAGCACGGCGCTGCGGGGACCCTTGGCTAGCAGTCGGCTTTCTAGACACGGTCCTCGATGGGCTCAGTGGGAGGATACCTTGTTGCTCCCACCCCTCCTTCAAAGTCATAAACTCTGGGGGTTCCATTAACTTTTTAAAAAATTTTTTTTCAGGTTTCTTCTTCTATTTATTGTGGTAAAGTACATACGTAACATAAAATTTCCCATCTGAACCCTTTATAAGTGCACGGCTCAGTGGCATCAAGCATATTTACCTTGTCGTGCTACTGTCACCAGCACCCATCTCCAGAACGTTTTCATCTTCCCCAAACTGAAACTCTGTACACGTAAAACACTAATTCCTAGTGCCCATCCCCCCGGCCCCTGGCACCTGCCATTCTACTGTCTGTGAAGATGGCAGCTCTGTGCACCTCGTATACATGGAATCCTACGGTGTTTGCCCTTTTAAGGAGAGATGGCTTATTTCACTCAGCATGACATCCTCAAAGTGTATCCAGGTCATAGCATGTGTCAGAATCCACTTCCTTCCTAAGGGTGAGTCCTGTCCCATTGTGTGTATGTGCCACGTTTTGTGTATGCATTCATCCGCTGATGGCCACGTGGGCTGCTTCCACCTGTTGGCCGTTGTGACTAGTGTTGCTGTGAACAGGGGTGTGCAAATATGTGGTCAGGTTCCTGCTTCCAGTTCTTCTGGGTGTATCTCTGGAAATGGAATTGCTTTGGTTAACTTTTAATGGTGCCTGGCCCTGGTTCCTGAGAGAGATTTCCATGTTCTTCATTTGCACACACCCAGGTCTGCCTGGTAGCTGGTTAATGATGGGCTGCAGCGTTCACGTCTGCCCAGAGGAAGCCCACCAGGAGGGCTGAGGGCCCTGGCTCTGCACCCACTCTTTCATCTGCAGACTTTTTCATCTCATTTAAAAAAATTATCCTGGGCACAAGTGCAAGAAATAAACATTCATTACAACAACTAAGATAGTAACAAGGCAGAGCTTCCACTTTGATATTGCTGTCGTAATTTATCATCCAGGCAGGGAGGCGGAGGGGTGGGTGGGGATGGTACGTGAAGACATCCTTACTGCCCCCCACCCCTGTGGTTCATGAGGACTAAAACAGCGGTCCCGAAACATTTTGGCACCAAGGACTGGTTTCATGGAAGACAGTTTTTCCATGGACCTGGGGTGGTGGTGGGGATCGTTTCGGGGATGATTCAAGCACATTACACTTATTATTACTTTATTTCTATTATTATTACATTCTAATATATGTTGAAATAATTATACAACTCACCCTAATGCAGAATCAGTGGAAGCCCTGAGCTTGTTTTCTTGCAATTAGACGGTCGCATCTGGGGGTGATGGGAGACAGTGCCTGATCTGGCGGGAGACAGAGCTCAGGCAGTGATGCGAGCAATGGGGAGCGGCTGGAAATACAGACAGATGAAGCTTCGCTCACGAGCCTGCCGCTCACCCCCTGCTGTGTGGCCCTGTTCCTAACAGGCCCCGGACTGGTACCAGTCTGTGGCCTGGGGGTTGGGGGCCATGGGACTAAAGGACAGGGACTAACGAGTTCCATTCCTTGCCTCTGAGAGGAGGACGGCCTTCACTGCTCTTCAGCTGCTTGCACTACGACACTGGAGGCTCCAGACCCCACTGTTTAGGGCACATCCGGGGCCGGCCACGGGCAGTCTGGATTCAGATGTTTCGGAGGGGGCCCACCCAGTCAGGGCAGTCCCACGGCATGAAGGGCAGGTGCAGTGACACTTAGCCAGGCCCCGCGCAGGTCGCCTGGCACCACCCCTCGGCAGCCCTCCCGTACCGCTGTGGACTTGTCTCTCAGTAAAGCGAGAGACCAGTTCCGTTCAGACACGACGCCGTGTTTTAAATGAGCCCATCTCTCACCAGCACCACCCTCCTTCAATCCCTCAAATCCTAGTTTAGGAAATCCAGAGAATTTTCTCCTGCTGTGGCTGTTTTAGAAAAGGGATTTCTGTTAGTAAGTGAGATAACTGTTAGGCCAGGAGGAGGGGAAAGGATTACGGCTGGGTCCAGGAGCCCTGTCATTAGACGAGCCCCCAGGAGCGGCGAGCAGGAAGGAACACGACGCCAGCGAGCCCATCTGTCTCCCCCCAGAGCCTTTTTTCTGTGGGGCTGCAGGATGGAAGTGGCTCTGTCTCCTTAACCCCTCTGGATTTGGAGATTTGGAAAGAAACCTCCTAGAGTGGGTTGCTTCCAACCCATGTTCCTTCCAACACATTTCTCTCCAGGCTGTGGGAAATATCACCCCTGGTGCCAATGGCCAGGCACCCGCCCCCGCCCGCTGCCCTCCCACTTGGGTCTTTGTGGCAGGGGCCCAGCAGGCCATCCTGGCCGCCAGGGGGAACCCAATCAGGCCTCTGTCCCCAACACAGACCAGGGGCTTGTGGCACCTTGGAGGGCTGACACCATATCCAAAGCTGGGAGGCCGAGGCAGGAGGATCATTTGAGTTCAGGAGTTCAAGACTAGCCTAAGCAACATAGTGAGACCTTATCTCTAAAAAAATTTTTTTTAAATTAGCTGGCCATAGTGGCACATACCTGTAGTCCCAGCTACTTGGGAGGCTAAGGCAGGGAGGATCCCTTGAGCCCAGAAATTTGAGGTTGCAAGCTATGATGATTAAAAAAAAAAGGTGTTGAGATATAGCTACATGCAAAAGAACTTAGAGTATTGAATTCACAGAGACAGAAAGTAGAATGTTGGTTGGCAGGGCTGGGGGAGAGAAGAATAGAGAGTTTAGTAGGTACAGAGTTTCAGTTTTGCAAGATGAAGAAAGTATGGAAATAGATCGTGGTGATGCTGTATAACAGTATGAATATATGTGATGCCAATAACCTGTGCACTGAAAATGGTGAACTTTTGTTATGTACGTTTCACCACAATTTTTAAAATCATCCTACTTATTATCTGTGAGCTCATCAAGGGAGGCCTCTGTTTACACTTCCAGCATTGTTTACCCAGTGTCTGGTACACATGCAGGAGATGATTCAGAAATATCTGTGGAGTCTGAACACACAGATGAGTGACTGGTGCCATATACTAACATCCTGTGCAAAGGATTTAGCGCTGAAGTCATGGAAACAAACACTGGCTTTGCTTTTTTAATTCCTTTATTAATTTACTTCTGACAAGCCTTTGTATTCCAAGCACATCACACAGATAGGGTGTATTAAACTCTGGTAGAAAGTGTGTCTGCATCAATGTAATTATATATTTACCTCTCCCACACAGCC